ATTTTATTGGGTCCCGGGCCACTGTGTACACCCCAAAAAAGGAATGTACTGTGGTAATTACACATTGCCGAGAAGCAGGCACGTAGCCAGGATTTTGTTTCAGGGGCGGGGGGGGGGGGGGGGGGGGGGGGGGGCGGGGGCGGCCATGACAAAGTGCTCTATGAGGTAGAGGGGGGAGAGGAGGCCTCAGCAAATATAAAAAGGTGTAGTGCATTATCACACGTTTTAAGAAACATGTTTAAAAAATCACACGTTTTTAAAGGTGTGAGGTTTACATTTTTTTTATAAGGTCTATTGCTACACTCATTAGGGGGTTATTTCTGGGACACCCCACTTACATGTATAAAGGTGTGAAAATGCTGAATGTTGAACCTCTAACTGAAGAAAATCTCTGTCATGTGATCACATCGGGTGCCGATGAAACGATCTGTCGATGACACCTCGTTCGATGAACTGATTTGACCGCCAATGAGTGACGACTGCCAGTAGAATTTCGGGCAAATAATTCTGCCGGCTGCCGGGAGGCTCAACCTTACCCGAGAATTACCCCGGTTTTGTTTGTTTTCCAACATTCTGAATTGTATACCAGCTTATTAGTACCTCTTCGGATATTACAGAAAAAAAACGATGGCAGCCGCAAAAACTTTGACAGCCCGGCTCACAGTCATGTGGGAGACTGACAGGTGCTCGTCAGTCGCCACCATGCCTTGAAAGCTACCGGTTCCGAAGAACCAGAGCGCGCAGAGAACTTGTGGTTCCACGGTCATGGTAGACGTGATTGTCCGCCGTCTCAAAGTCCGGGCGCCGAACGAAGCTCGTCGTCGCAGAGTCAACGCGCAACGGCTTTCGATAGCCGGTACTGTCGCCGAAAGTCGTCGTCGTCGGGGAGTTGAAAGGCGTCCCCGGTGGTCTCGGTAGCGACGCCGACGATGGCGGAAGATAAGCTCGGCCGCAGCGTACGGCACCGCCATGTTGACAAAGTTTAACTTCGCCTAGATCCGAAGCGAAGATCTCGAGCTCAAACCACGGCTCTCGCAAAGTTCGGAAACGTCACTTTGACGTCAGCGACAACTTCGACAAACGAGGTTTCTTTTTAACACAAACTTTGGAGGAATTTGGGGCGTCAGCCGGTCGCCTAGGGACAATCTGCAAAGCATTAATTTTAGCTTGGCGTACGGACAAACGGGCGCTACGTCATCGGCGAAGCCGTTCAATCAGCGGGCTCCTCGCGCCCCTCACGCGCTGCACGCACGCCTCGATGAACTTTGCTACATTCTGCCTCTCCCAAAGAAATGAGCGTTCGAATGATTGACACCTCGCTCGGCGCGACGTCAGCGTCGCGAGAGTCCAAGTAGCGCGCTCCGCGAACTTTGGGCACAAAGTTGTGCTTGACGAGTTTAGCGACTCAGGCCAGGGGAGAGCGGGCGCCATCGTGGTGGGCGCCGGCGGTCATTCGTGCTACCGACAGCGAGTTTTAGTGGACCGTGTTTCCCCCTCCGCTACCCGAACTCTACAGCCAAGGCCATCGGCACGCAGGCGCAGGGGCGGTTTCTTCGTAGCGGAGGGTGAAACACGGTCAACTAAAACTTGCTAATGCTGCGTACGCCGCGAGCGATATGCCGCCGCATTGGAGCCGCGTAGTCGCGTCTTACGAGTCTTGAGTGCGAAGAGAGCCTAGTGAAACGAGCGGTGTGTGCGACTGCGTGCGGATGCAAAGGCATTTCCGAAGCTGGAAGGCTTTCTTTTATATGCTTTCACTCCATCACATAGAAAAATAAACTCCGGTTTATTGTCGACTCTTACCAGACACTTGTAGAACCCACCCTCTCTCTGACACAAGTGCCCTCCCTCTGGATCGTAGCCTTGTAGTACATACCTTATGCTTTTACCCGCATGCCCTTCAGCTTCGGAATCTCTGTTGGTCTTGGGCTTGGCCACAAATTGCAAGAAAATGTGCTTTGACGTTTTGCCTAGTTAGAAGACACGACACATGTCTGCTGGGCTTGAGGCTGCGACACCTGCTTCTCCGTGTCACCTCTTTCAGCAGAAGCACGGAAGTGCGCTCTATTATCTGGCACGAAATGTATCTGCAATGGCAGGGCGCATAGCCAAAATAACTGGAGTTAAAAGAAAGTAACTTTGAAATGAGTACAAGTTACTTGAAAAAAGTATTTAAGTTGGAGTACTAAATACTGACGTTCGAAAGCATTTGCAAGATACCAAGTTACTCACAAAAGTATTTAACATACAGTTACTTGAGTAGAGTATTTAGGTTACGTACAAGTCTGGTTTAGATCGCGCTTAAAGGGCAACTCCGCCCAATTCCGAAGATTTCGGGATAATGAGTGATTTCGAATTAAAAAGCCCTAGTAAAAGGCACTACGTCGTTTGCTTCGCGAAAAATAGGATGTATATTTTTAAATCTAATTTTAAACACGAGCGGAAATCGAAACCGAAACTTCGGCTCCGTCCGGCAACATTGGCCTCGGGCCGCCAAGTACATGGCCATCACGTGGTACGAGATGTCACGTGATCCTCGGCCCAACGAAGGGCGGGATGGGGGCGGGCGTGCGGCAGGCGCGAGTGTCGTCTGCACCGCACTCTTCGCCACGTTTTGGTGTCTACGGCATTCGACGACGTCTGCACAACTGCGGCGACTGCGGCATAAGTCTGCGACTCTGCGCACGTGGTGTCCATAGTGTGGACGAAACTCCGAGAGGAAATAATCACAAACGGTGAGACGACGACGGTGGTTGTGACGCGGAAGACGGCGGTAACAGCGGGACCACGGCGGGCGGTTGGTCTGCTCCTAAGAAGCGCGCTGCGCAGGCGCATACGCCAATCACGTGGACACCGCTGAGCGCCGAGAGGCAACGTTGCTGACGTCATGCGCTACGCTCGATCGGAGAAGTAAAAACAAGCAAAAGGGGGCTATGATGATGACATTTAGCTCAATGTTGGCTCCGCCCATGCCGTAGCCTTGACTGCGCTGTTGGCGCTGTTGGTCGCGCCTGAATTCGCCCGCTCGAGTCAGCCGATTTCGGCAACTTGGCGAGTTGCGAAGTTTGCCGGACCGTTTAAGAAACATTTAGACAGAACTACGTCGTAATATTTGACGTGTGGTCTTCCTAGGCGATACTGAAGAGGACTGCATTGTTTTTTTCAAAACCAGAAATGAAGCGGAGTCGCCCTTTAAAGGGATACTTCAACGAAATTTGAAATATTCCCGTCCTGTTCAAAAATAGGTTGAATATGATCCACAATATCCGTAAATGACAATCGCCCGTTTGTATTTTGAGCCTGGTGGCTGTATTTTTCGTTATAAACGGCCCACTCTGGCAAGCGCTCGGAGAAGGCCCAGCGGAGACCACGTGACATCTAACGCAATCGTGACGTAGGTAGTCTCAAGACGAGCAAAGCTACGGCGAGGCTGACGTCGAGAGGAGTCGTTCCAGCCACCGAAGCGGCTGCTTTTGTACAAATTTTGAGTGACGGGTTAATCTTCTATAATCTTGTAGGGGGACAATAGCGACTTCTGTGACACACAAAAGGGATTCTCGGGAAGAGGGGAGTTCCACCTGCCGCTCTTCTCTCGTCGTGGCCGGAGGCGAGACAACCTCCGTCACTAGCTGCCAAGGTTGCTAGACGGGCATTACAAGTGAGGCGTTAGCGACATCCACCAGGTGCTCTTTGCTGATCGTTTAATTCGTTTTAAAATTCCTTTTCGTGACTTTTTTAACAAGATATTGGTATGCTCGATTTGATGGTGCTTTTTTGAACACATTTCGACCAAAAAATGAGCGCCGAAATTTCGTTGTGGTATCCCTTTAAGTCGAAACAAAGCAACCATCTTCCCTCTCTGCTCGGCCAGAAGGGAGAGAGAGAGAGAGTACGAAGACCACTGGCTCTCGAACCATGTTTTTACTAAAAGTCTATTATATTTAAACCAAAAAAAAAGTGACGCCACATCCGTATTTGGTTCCGATCTTTCTCTCGTAGCGCCGTGGCCGTTGACGATCGCAGCCACGTAATTGAGTGCTCCCGCCTGAAATATCACCGTCATTAGCGCCCACCGGCTTGGGGGTAAAATCGAGCGTATACTCTGTTTCATACTTAGCGTGCAACACTGTCAAAGCTACTGGCGCGAGTGCGTGGCTTCATCTCTGGTTTTGTTTGCGCGAGAACGCGTACAAATGATCAGCGAGATCAAGCCCCACGCTCGTGCCAGTAGCTTTGACAGCGTTGCACGCCAAGTATGAAACAGAGTATAGTTGTCTCACAAACTGTTCCCGAAAAGTGTGCTACTCTAGGGGACGGCACCATTGCAGCAGTGAGCGTTTGTCCGAAGTAGGGTGGTTTCGTAGCAGATGATGGCCAGTTTCTTGGCGCAGTGACCAAGAAGGTTAGGCAGTGACACACTCTCTCCCGTGACGTGCGTCGCGTGCCTCGCTCCAACGTTCCTACAGGGTCACGGAGGCCGTAGGTTCCAGAGTTTGCCAAGTTCTCGTGAAACGGAGTATTCGGAGTATTCACTGGGCGGCCATATTTGTGGGTGCTGTTTAGAGCGCGTGCTCAGAACGAGCTCACATCAATAAGCTGCTAAGACCGACACTCTTGATGGTGCGGAATGCACATTGCAAAAGAACTGTGGAAGCTCGCCGTCAGCACGCGCTCAGCATTCGCGCTCAGCATTCGCGCACACGGCTATGGCCGCCAGTGAATACTCCCTATACATAGCTTGCATGCGACGTCATTCGCGGCCATGCCTGTATTTTCTGCTCCGCGTACGTTCGGTTCGCCGTGTTAGTTTCACACTGCAAATGTTGTAGTTCTAAGGGACCAGTAGGTAGAAATAACCGTCAGTACCCAGCAATGGCAACACTTGCAAGCTACGTATAGCAGGTTACATAAATCTTTAAACCAAAGTCGCCGAGACAAACGCGAGTTTACAGCCAGGACCCGGCACCAAAACAAACGTTCAATCGACGAAGAGAAGCGGGTTGCAATGTAAAATGCCGAGTCTTTATTGAAGGATCCAACGGTTCCAAGGTCGAGTAAAGCGTGCGGGAACGCCGCCTCGTACTACTTTTGGTCTCTCGGTCCTCCGGTGCCGAGATGGCGTTTCCGAGTCCTTTGGGCGGTAGCTAGCGACCTCGTTGGCAGAGTCCAGCCGCAGGCGCCAGAGTGATGCAAGCGAGCACTTTGGCGGGGAGCCGCTCGCCCAACACGGCCGGGCGCGGGCCCAAGGAAAAGCAATGTCTACGGGCCTCGATGATGCACAACACAATGGTCTGCTCGAAGGATGACGGAGAAGTTAAAAGGTGGGCTTGCGAGATCTCCCCACGGTTGGGGTGCGTGGGCGTTCACAGACCATCGTCCACGCTGGGCAGCCAGAAAGCCTGTGGGAGAGAGACGGCTGGGTTAGCCCCTCCGACGGACGGAAGACTCGCGTCGGCGATTTCGCCCGGACTGTGAACGCAGAGGGACTGCCGCAACAATCATAGCAAATGCCCTCCCCCGAGAGACAGCCAGTCCCATACCCTCCCGACAAGCGTAGGAAAAGGTGGCAAAACCCTTCCGAGTCACGCTCCAGACCAAAAGGGAATGGGCTGGGGTAAACGTCTTGTGTGTCTGTTATTACGAAAAAATTGGGAAATTTAAAACTTCAGACACCGCTAAGAAGTAAATAAAACTGCAGGTTCCACACGATCGAGTACACGCATACAAATGTATGTGCAGTACGGCCTGCTTATAACGAACCCAGAAATAGCGAAATAACACACGAATTTCACGTTACCTTTTGTACACCTGCGTGCAAAACAATCCCGCTTTTACAAAAAAAAAATAAATAAATAAATAAATTGTCGCAAGTATAACAAAAACAAAAAAAAATCCCGAAAAGGTACTTGGATTAAATGCAGAAAAGGCTACTCACGATATATTTCTAGAAATTAAGCACAAAAATAAACAGCCGGGTATTCATAATGCAACTAAAGCGTTTGCCACACTTCGTCAGAGAGAAACTTGCACTGCTCAGAAACTTTGCCTTCTTTGCACAACGCAGGTGTGGAAGCAAGCTTCAGCCTTTTGGAGCAGGTCTGGGAGCAGCAAAAATGCCCCTTTGGAGCAGCTTTGGAGCAGTAGAAGTTCGGCTTTGGAGCAACTCAGGAGCAACAAAAATCGAGTTTCGTAGCAATATAAGCAAATCTTGGAGCTGGTAACCCGAAAAAACTCTGTGCTGTCAGCGCAGATGTGTTTTTTCGAAATACAAAAAAAAGTAATACTGCCACGCGCGTCGGCGAGCGAGCGCGTGGGCGGCCGAGTGGTTGCCGCACTTGATTCTCGTGCGGTAGCCCAAGGTTCGATTCCTGGGAGCACCGAGTCTTATTTTCTTTCAATTTAGATTTCTGTTGATTTCGAGAACCGTGTTGCTTGTTCTAGGTTAGAATGTTCTACGCGCCGAAACTTCTAGGCCGACTGTTTCAGAAGTCCATGCGTGTACAAAAGGGGCCCCGCGTGGCGAGCCGGAGTCGGTCTCGCTCCTGCGCTCGATCCTGCTGTTACGCCGACATCGACGCCCGCGACACTCTGCAGTTTTCTTCCGTTTCCTTTTTGTTTTGGGCACAAGTTCGCCCCCTTAAAAATTTAGTTTCTTCAGTTACCATCGCTTCATCAATTGTCATTCGTGACAATATAAATAAAAAAGCATCTCCTAGTGACGTTCCAGAGTCATTTCCAAACATGACCTTTCATACATTCCAGAAGTATTTGAGTGGCTACCATTGAGAACTGTCCTGGTGGTAGCGGGTTGGTTCCTCTCATGGATTTGCAATAGTAGGCATAAGCAACTAAAAAAAAAACTTATGCCTCATGAAACTAAAACATTTTCACTATTTAACAACCTAAATCGCACGTTCCATAAGTTAAAAACAAAACCATTTCAAGCTGCAATAGTATGCCTCGATCATCTTTAGGGACTTGAAACAATGCAATGTTTCAAGTCCCTGTTTAGCAACCAAAAGTATTCCAATACTCAACGGAGTATCAGAAGTATTCCAATACTCAGCAGAGTACAAATCTACCCTATCTGATAAAAGTACAAATGCGAAATATTCAAAACTTCACAATACTACCTATACCATTCCTGCTCATACATACATACTTAATTAACCCTTACTGAAGCAGGCATCACTGGCTAAAAAGGAACAAGAAAGCTTGTTTAGGAGTTTAATAAAAAAAACTTGACTGACAAAACTAGCAAGCAAGACCATAAAACGGAAGGTTTTCCTTAAGTCAGTGCGGAGCGCAAGTTCGTCTGCTTCTTGCACAGGGGTTGCGTTACGTCAAAACGCCGAGCTCTTATTGGCTGATTAAAAAAACTGTGGGTATACCTCAAGGTCCCTAACATTGAGGTCTACCCACAATCATTTCAATCAAAACCACTCAGAGCTCGGCGTCGTTCAGAAGTCACCGCATTTCCTATGCAAGAAGGAGATGACTTGCTCTTCGCATTGCTTGGACGCCTTCTAGCACAACGGTTTAGTATTTGTTTCACTCAGCAGGACATTCCCCGCTGTTCTCCTTGTCCTCCTGTCGACTTGCTGTTTGGGTGCCCAGCAGGTGTATTCGCCACGTACGTCATTTACAAGAAACTCTAAAGATGATTGAGGCAACCAATTATCGCTTTTATGTGTTACGTTTACGACACAAATGAGGAACGCGGAAGCAGTCCAGTGATGTGATTGGCTAAGCCATTTTGGAGCACCTTTCGGAGCAGCCAAAACAGTGTTTTGGAGCAGCAAATGTGGCCTTTGGAGCAACCAAAACGGTGTTTCGGAGCAGTAAAAGTGGCTTTTGGGGCAGCCAAGACAGTGTTTCGGAGCAGAAAAAGTGGCTTTTGGAGCAGATATTCCTATAAAAATAAAAATAATTGTTTTAAGTGCTGTACAAATGAAGGGCACTTTGTGTTGTGACCTGTGTAGCGCTCTAACGTGACGTGTTGTGACGGAACTCGCTGCTTGTCTTTTTACTGCTGAGACATCCCACAAGTGTATAGTGCTGTAGGCGTTGCCCAGGAATTCCGAAAAACCGCTTGCCACCGTTTGACTGGTTCCTGACGTATCAGATTTTCGTCAAAAGTAAGCAAGCGTAAAACAGCGGATGGCAAGCGTCCCTGCTGGTGCCTCTGCCGTGCAATCACGTTCGCAGACACGTGAGGGCAACTTCAGCAGGCTTGCAGTTGCGCATGCTTCGTCGCGTGAGCGGAGACAACGGCTGTTCGATCAGAACCGAAACCATGTCACTCCGCTCCATCGCAAACTGATTCCCTAAACTGTATGCAAAAGGTAACTGTCGAGCATATGACGAAAAAAAGTGTTATTGTGAGGCAGGCAAACAAGATACAAGCTAAACACTTAAAAAAATCAAAAAGAACCAGAATGCATCGATGCAAGACATCGCAAGCCAGGGTCAAAAAGTTCTTGGATTGCTTTGGCTTTCTGCAATGACTGAACTCGAGACAAACAAGTGCGCTGTGCGGGTTCAGCGCAGACTATGCCTTCTTTGCTTTAGGTCACTTCTCTTCACCAACTTTCTTATCACGGCAGATTTTTCACGTACCGGGGTCCCTCTCGAAACAAAGCCCTCTGAGAGAAATCTAGGTAATTAATACTTCGACACAGCAGTCTTTGAGTTGAAGGATTTTTGTAGTAAAGTATGAATTAAACAAGAACAGGAATGTTGAACATGCAGCGGTACTTAGTTTCATTTTATAGAAAGCACCATATTTGCAGCGACGTGAGGACGGCAACACCCGACGTCGCGCGACCACGGTGACTAGAAGGCAGGGACCAAATATAGTTTTTTAACGGCTGTTGCTTTTAGGAGCGAGTGCTCTAGTTCACAAAAAAAAGTTCCCGCCACGCAAAAACACGGTTTCGTGTCAGAGCATGACGGCAAGGTTAGTATCCAAAACGCTATAGAGTCGGAGCCTCCGCACACACCCGCGTCTATCGTTAAAGATAATAATAAAAAAAGCGAGACAAGACTCACGGGACGACGAGTGCGTGAAACGCCAGATGGCGGGAAAACCACGCAGGACCGGAAGGACAACAGATGCAGGGTATTTTGTGTTGATCGGCCGCTTGCGCCACATAACACCCGCATGCTCAATTACGTTGCTCAGAATAGTTTTGGTTTTGAAAGGCGACCAAAACTGGTCTTTTGGTGCAGGCTTGGCACAGATTACCCATATTTTGGCAAAATGTATCAGGATGTAGCAGGGTTAGCCCCTTGGAGCAGTTTGGCGCAATTGGCGCAGCAATCACATCACTGCAGCCTCAGCAAAGCAGAAGTAGGGTGGTGATTTGGGCCAGGTGGTAACAATTAAACATGATGAAAAAACAGCCTCAGATAAACAGAGACGAAGGTATGTCTGGCAAAAAAGCCGATGCCGCCAATGATAAGAACTTCAGGCGGGTGAATGTTGTACTGAAACAGGCTAAGAGCAGGGCATAAGAGCTGTGCGAGAGCATAGCCTTGGGTCAGTTTGCAGCCAGGATTAAAAAAGCAGAGGTTTTGCCCCTACAAGTGTTTTTCACTGCAAAGACACACAAAGACTCCTGCCCGTTTAGAGCCATTGTGACAGAGAAGGGTACCTGGCAAAAACAGATGGCATTATACCTTCAAAAACAGCTGTCCTGTTTGGTTATTGTGGACCCGTTTAGGGTTGCACACTCTTACGCGGTGTCTGAATTTTGTAAGGGCATTGATCATGAGAATTGGTCGGCGTTCAGTCTGGACGTTGAGGACATGTTTTACTCCTTACCTCACAACCAGTTGCTGACCTCGGTAAGGTCTTGTATCGAGGCCAATGGTGAACTTGCGTTCAGGAACGCAAGCGGTGTGTCCGTCGAAAGTTTTATGGAACTTCTGCTTTTGTACCTGAACTCGATAGTGGTGGGCTGGGTTTTACTTGCAAAAAAACAGGAGTGTGTATAGGGTCGTGCGTAGCTCCGATTCTAAGTGACATTTTTCTTGGAGAGGTTGATTCTGCCGTTGCTGGTGCTCTTGACATACTTCTGTGAGGAAGGTGTTTCGTTTTGTGGATAATTTTCTGGTCGTGTACAAGCGCACGGATGAAGCTAACATTAGGAATGATGTTTTGGCGGTTTTCAAAAATTGTGGGGGGGACTCAAATTTATGTTTGAGGAACCCAGCGAAGGGGTCATCCAGTTTCTTGATCTCTCGCTGTCCTCCAAAGAAAAACAGGTTTGCTGGTCTTTCCGCCCACGGTCTAGGAAGGCAATACTTGACTGCAGGTCCGCCCATTCGAAAATAGTAAAGAGGGGTATAACTGCTTCATGCCTGGGGTCGGCCCTAGGAAGTCATGTGTGCACTC